GCGAGCACCCGTGGGTGTCTCCAGCACCTCCTCCCCGGCGCGGCCCTGCTCCCACCCCCCTGGATTTTGGGATCCCCTCCAGCCCCGTCTCCCGGTGTTCCCTGTGGCAGCTGGTGCAGGACAAAGGCCCGACCTGGTGCTGGACGTAGGCGTGGATCCTCTCCAGCATCCCCTCGCACGTGTACTCATAAGGCAGGTAAGGGTCCACCTGCGGAAGATGGAGAGCAAATGGGGAGAGACAGACCCAAATTGCAAAAAAAATGCAAAATTGCAATTTCCAATTTACAGGGAAAGTGCTGGCGAGTAACAGAGCAAAGGATTCGCTCAGCATCTACCCAAACAGCCATTAAAATAATGCCTCTCCAGCATCCCCTCGCACGTGTACTCATAAGGCAGGTAAGGGTCCACCTGCGGAAGATGGAGAGCAAATGGGGAGAGACAGACCCAAATTGCAAAAAAAATGCAAAATTGCAATTTCCAATTTACAGGGAAAGTGCTGGCGAGTAACAGAGCAAAGGATTCGCTCAGCATCTACCCAAACAGCCATTAAAATAATGCCCTCCTGTTCCACTTGACATGACTTTTCCCTCTTTTGCTTGCAGGCTGTAAAGGAAACCCCTTTGCAGGCAGCAGCTCCAGGCTCCCGCCTGGCCCATTTCCCTGGGCTTTCCTGGAGCTGCCAATGGCAGACATCTCTCACAGACAGCACGGGAAACAGGAACGCCAAAAAACACGGGCCATTTTCTGATGCTCTCTGGCAGAAAATTTGGAAGCCGGGAGCTTTTCACTCCCCATCACCAACTCCTTTTTCTCCCAGCACCGATGCAGGGCGATTCACCCCTGCACAGGGCTGAGCACCTCCTGCATCCCCAAGCATCCGTGAGGATCCCCAAGCATCCCCAGCACGCGCGGGCTTTGGGCATGCAAAGGACGGGAAGAGCCTCCGGCTGCTGCCTCCTGACTCCACTGCTATTTATACGCGGCCGGCAGCTCCTTCCCTCCGCTCCAGGCGCCGGAGTATTTTTAGCTCGGGTTATGAAACGCTGCCCGTCTCCCCCAGCCTCCCGCCGCCGGCCTGAGCCGCCTCCTATCTGCAGATTTATCTGCTTTTCACCCCAAAAAATAAACCCCGCAGCAGCCACCTGCATTTTCCCCTTGGCAGCTTCTCAGGACAGGGGAGACAGGAGCTCCTGCCCAGGGCTGGAGAGACCTAGAGCTGCGGGGGTCCCCAGACATTTTTCCTATGTGTTTTCTCTCTAGAGCAGCAGCTTCTTTTTTTAAGGAACTTTCCAATAGGTTTTTCTCCCTCTCCCACATTCTTTTTCCTTCTCTGGGGGAGTCGGGACATGAGCCCCGAAACCCCCTTCTGCAGAATCCAGGCATCATTGAATTAATACGTAGAGAAATAACACGAGTGCCTGGTGACGCGTAGCAGCCGGCGGGGACTGCTCCAACCAGCTATTTTCACCCCGATGTTTATTACACTGCTCTCACACGTGCCTCCCGCAATGTGTAATTTTCCATTATAATCCAGTAGGTTTGAGTTTAATATAATGAAGCCTTTTCCCTTCGCTACGCAGACCAGCGGGTCTGTTAAATGCCTTGTGCCAGGGGCTGGTTTTGGCAAGTGGCAAAGCTGAAGCCCAGGGAAATGACTGTGCCCAAGAAGCTGCTTCCTGCCCTCGGAAAACCCGCCCGAAGCAGGATCGAGGGTGCAGCCAGGCTTGCTCCAAGCAGTTCAGACCCAGAGCGGGTGCTGCTTCCCAAGGGGCAGGAGCTTGGAGCACTTTTGGGCTGCTCATTAAAAAGCAAACAAATAACCCAAAGTGCACATTGCAAACTCCAGCCACGTCCGTGCCACACTGTGAGCCGCACTCGGGAAGGAAGAAGTTTCTTTTGAGCAAATCCAGGCTGGCGCAGGGACGGGGACGCCGGCTGCATCTCAACTCCCTTGTGGCACTCAAAGCATCTGCCAGCCCAATCCCGGGACATGGGAAAACACAAAGCACCCGTGGATCCCCCAGCCCGACAGGGAGCCGGTTTTATCCTCCCGTTCAGGGCGAGCTGTGTCGCCATGTGCTTCAAACTGGCAAAACTCAAGCTGCGTGGTAAGTGATTTTCCAGCTGAATGATAAAAATAAAATCAGATAACATCTATTCCAGGTCACTTTTCAATTTGCAATGGTTTTGTGTTATCAGGAATGCGCACATGTTTCAGGTTGGGCGATCCATTGCTTTTGGGGAAATGCACCATCTCGGATAGATGCGCTCCCCTCGGGATGCTCGTAAACAGGGCTTTGCTCCTGTAATGCTGAAATGAAACCTTTCGAGTGGAAAAAAATAATAATAAATCAACAGAAACTATGCTGAGACACAGACAAATTCACCAAATATTCTGATAACCAAAACCACCATTTGTCCTTGGGAAAAAGGATTCAGGAAGACTTTCACCAAGCACTGGTACCTGGCTGAAAATAGCGACATTTATCTGCCTGACTCCCACTTTCCCCTTCCTTTTGCACTGCATTTGTTTTGTGTTCATGCTGGAGCAAACATTATTCCAAAGACAAGATACCAAGGGATTCCCAAAGCAAAACTCCATAATAAGGCTTTTAAACTCAGAAGGTAGGTCAACTTCTAGGCTTAATTGTCTTGACAGCAACTCACTAATAAAACAGCTCTTGCAATTAAAAAAAAAAAAAAAGAGGAAGTTCTTGTGAGTTGCTTATGTTTGCTCCCTCTTTGGTTTCCTGAGGATTTATATAACATCTTTAAAACCCCCAGCACTGGTATGTTGCTAGGTTAACCATGGACACGGCTTTCCAGAAGGGAATAGGGAATAACTCACTCCTGGGGCACCTGTGGCGCCATGCGCTGCTCAGACATCAGGTCAACCCCTGCTCCTTGCTCTGCTTCCAAAAGCTCAGGACAGTGACGTGTTTCCCTCTCTAAAGCCCACGTTTTCCTGATGATTTCTTGCAAGATGCTGGGAAGCTCCAGCACGACGGTCCCCCTCCTGGGAATCATCTCTCCAGGGCAGGCGGCGGTGGGGCCAGCTCTGCCACCCACACTGCCAGCTGGCCAGACGGGAGCAACCTCATCGTTTTTCATTTAATTTTAATCAAGAGGCTGTAATGAATATGCAAAACAACAACTGCTTTTTGAAGATGCTTTTTGCTCTTTCTCTGCAACCCCTTCTGCTGCAGCCCTGGCCGCAGCTCCATCCCCCCGGTGCCTCCTCCTCGCCTCACCTGGGTGCTCATGATCGCCTTGATGGCGGCTTCGAACTCCTCCGAGTTGTTGTAGTCGACGGTCCACACGTGCGGCCTCCCGATGAAGGTTTCGGCGTACGGGTGTTGGGAGGACACCTGTGAGACCAGAGCGCGGGCCGCTGGCTCACGGCCCTGCCAGGACCGGAGCCCCTCTCGCGGCAGGGCCAGTGCAGAGCACCGCACTCAGCCATGGGCATGTTTTGCTTTAACGCTATCGCACACAGATGTGCATCCCAAAAAGCCCCTTTCACCTGAACCCAGCTGCATTATCCACTTCATTAATAATAAAAGAGCCAATTTTCTCAGCCCTTTAACTTCTAAAGTGTTCCAGCTTCATTTAGATTGAATTTTCATCAACGGGCAAGCCTGAGAGGGATTTTGCACTGCTGCACCTACGTAGAGGTCCTGGTGTCCTTCTTATTTTGCAAAATGATCACAAGGAGCAGCAGGAACGTGGGGCTCAGCTTAAAAGAGGAGCCTCAGTCCTGTGTTTGGTGCAGGGCCTGGGGGAACATAGAGATGTGCAGTCAAGAGACCACATGGGGCTGGGCTCCATGGTTTGCACAAGCCTCCTAAACTATTGTTCTCTTTTGCAAACCCACAGCAGGGTCCATCTCATCTGAATGCTCTAGTCTGGATGTGGAGAATAGAGAGGGGAAAGGCCATCCCCCTTGCAAGTATCTGGGCTGCTGGAAACCTCCCCGCGCGCAGCCCGACTTGCCTCCCGTGACGTGGGCTTCCCGCGGAAGAACTCGTGGTTGAGGGAGCTGTGCGGAGGGTTGAAGCGAGCCTGCAGGAAGACGCAGCCGTTGGCAATGGCCTCCAGCGGGGCAGGACCTTCGTAAGGGAACCCAAAGCCGATGAAGAGCTGTAAGGAAGCAGACGGACACGCTGCTGAGCCAGCCCCGTCCTGGGCTAAGCCCAGGGGAACTCTCCCAAATATCCCTCCCGTGCTCCTCTTTCTTTGCTGCTCTGCTCCCTGTGCACGCACCCCTTCCAATTCCCCACAGCTTAAGCGCATTAAAAACTCCTTCCCGAGTCAGATAGACGCCACAAGGCTCCCAGTTTGCTTGCAAAAGACCTCAGGACGTTGGCGCTAGCGGAAGCTGTGACTTGGCTTGCGGTGGCTCGGCTGGACACTTTGGTCCCACATGCACAGGGAGCGGGTCGCCAGTGAGAAGCAGCCCTAGGAGCACTAAGGGGTGGTGAACCGAGCTTGTTCCATGCAGACGCTGCTCACGGTCAGCCCTGAGCACGCTCGCACCCCTCAGCGCTCACTCAACATTGCCATTTATCATCAGCACTGCGGAAGCCACGAGTAAATAAATAAAGTACTACTTAGCAGGTGAATTAATCAAGAAACCTTGTGCTCTGTCTGCGGGGAGGGGATTTCTCGATACAAAATTATGCACTGGAGGGACCAGCGTCCAACGGCATCTCCACACCCCTCGCTTTACCCGGATTTTCCCCCTCGGGACGCTCAATCCCAAGGCCCCGTGGGCTCCCGCACCTTGGCCTTGCGCAGCAGCTGCTGGAACTCGTGTTGTGGCAGCAGCCCGTGGTTCTTCACAAAGGCCGGCACCTCCGGCGGCCGCTGCGTCTCGTAGTACACCGTGCCGTGGATCTCCATGTACTTGTTGAGGATGGTCAGGAACTTCTCTTTGCCCTGGTGAGGGAGGCAGGGGTGGTCAGTCATGGTGCAGGGCTGGCTCCAAAATCCCTATCCCAAAGCCTGGTACCCCTAGGTACCAAGGCCAGCAGAGATGCTCGTGCCAATGGGGATGCTCATGCCGACCAGCAGCCAAAGGCAGCCGAGCCACCATGCCAAGTCTGTGTCCCCACCACTGGCACCCACATGGAGCCCCTCAATGAAAGACAGTGGGATTCAGCA